AAAAAAAAAAAAAAAAAGAGAGATAAACTGTGTTATGTTTACAAAGAATCTGAAACTTGAAACAAATTTTTTTTAGCTAGGACTGACAGTATTTTTTTAAAGTATATAATATCAAAATGTCTTGAAGCAGTCTCACTCACATGCAACAAAGCCAATCGCTGTTCTGGACGAAGATGACTAAACTCATCACTGAGAACAAACTGAATTGCTAGAAATACGAGAACAAACAATTAGTACAGTTTAAAACAAAGATTTATGACTTATCCATAACTGCCCATATCTTAAAAAATACAATGTGTCAAGTAATGAACAATGCAGACAAAGTGAGTTACCTGTTCATGCAGATGAAGGAATGTAGAAAATTTGCCTGTATATAAACTAATCAAATAGGAAATGATAATGTAAGAAAAATAACAGGAAGCTTTCACTGAAACATTTAAGGCAAGCCAGGCACAGTGGCTCACACCTAGCACTCATCCTAGCACTCTGGGAGGCCAAGGCAGGTGGACTGCTTGAGTTCATGACTTGGAAACCAGCCTGAGCAAAAGTAAGACCCCATCTCTACTAAAATTAGAAAAACTGAAGCAAGAGGATCATTTGAACCCAAGAGTTTGAGGATGCTGTGAGCTATGATGCCAAAGCACTCTAACCAGGGCGACAGCTTAAGACTCTGTCTCAAAAAAAAAAAAACATTTAAGATATGGAGGTGTCTATGGCTCAAAGGAGTAGGGAGCCAGCCCCATATACCAGAGGTGCTGGGTTCAAACCCAGCCCTGACCAAAAAAACTGAAGAAAAAAAAAATTTAAGGTAAAAAAAATACAGAAATAACATTGTTTCACAAAAAAACAGACAAAATGAAGGTCTACTTCTTGACCAAACATACACTGACTGGTTAGACTAATGGTACATTTGCTTCTTCTTCCCCCACTAGACATAAATGATATTAATCAAAATCTTTTTTAACAAAATAGATGTATCCTAACAATATACTCAATTGAATACTTTGTCAAAAGAAATAAAAGGAAATGTAGGGAAATATTTCAGATTCCTAACTTCTACTATAATCTTATATACTGTCCTTACATTCCTCTGTAAAAAGCTATTCCTACTTCCTTAGAGGGCCTGACTGGATCACCCTGCCCAAGAAATAGACTTCTTTACTCAGCTGTTTTGGTCACAATCCACCCAAGCACTAATGTGTACTGGGGGTGGGAAATGGATAGCTCCCATAATCACAAGACCAGCAGGGTGAGGTTCAAATTGCTCTCATACCTCTGCAGATTCTAAAATATACATTTCCAGGCTCAGCGCCTGTAGCTCAAGTGGCTAAGGTGCCAGCCACATATACCTAAGGTGGCGGGTTTGAATCTAGCCCGGGCCTGCCAAACAACAATGACGGCTACAACAAAAAAAAAAATAGCCAGGCATTGTGGAGGGTGCCTGTGGTCCCAGCTACTTGGGAGGC